AGTATTTTTTCCTGAATATTTTAAGTGAATGTGAATATTATTCAAAAATGCATATCTTTATTATGCATTCAAGATATTTGGGAATATATTCAAGGACATATGTAGCTCATCAATATAACCGTCATGAATATCACTACTTACTCGAACAGAAGGGGTATTAGAAATGAATTCCCTCCTCTATATGACAAATTATTTCCAGCAATAATCATAAAATGAAATAACAAAAATGGCCAGAAAGGAAGTGTAGATACTTTCCTCGTACTGAAAGTATTCTCGGGGCACCTGGGTGGCTCCGTCAGTTAAGCGTCTGACTCTGGCTCAGGTCATGATCTTGCCCTTCATGAGTTTGAGCCAGCATTGGGCTGTCTGCTGTCAGCACAGATTCTGTTTTGGATCCTCTGTCTTCCTTTCTCTCTGCCCCTCCACTGCTCGCTTGCTCTCTCAAAAAGAAATAAACATTTAAAAAATTTTTAAAAGAAAGTTTCCTCATAGTGAATATTTGTTTGCATGATCTTGCAGTACAACAGGAAAAGAAAGATATTATTGTGCCTAAAAGGGGAAAAACCTAATTGATTATTATTCATTTTTAGATCTATTTAAAATTAAACTTTCATCCTTTGGTTACAGTCTCATATAATATTATTTGATGTAAATAATTGTTCAGTAACTAATAAGTGAATTTTAATAAAACCAAACTGTAAAGGGTATGATTTAGGCAACTTCCATATGGTACCACTGATGAAAAATGTATTTTCTGGATTTGTCCTTTAGTTCAAAACAAACAACAGTAGAAAAGAATGCAATTCAGTAAAATATTCCATGTGTGAACTGTTGCCTTCACCAATGAAACTTTCTCTCCTCGTGATTTTGTTCTTTAAAAATTTAAAACACAAAAACTCAAGTAGTTACATGACCCGGCAGAAGTAAGTACCTCGTACCTCCCTGTACCTCGGGTTCCTGTTTTGTCTTCATAATCAGTGTGCTATCTGTGTTTACTTTGAATCCACATTTGAAAGGCAGGTATTTGTAGCAGCACAAGGCTGGAAACACCAGCTGAGCACTTCTGTTACGTGACAATGACAAATTTATCTCAAAAGAAACCCCTGTAGCTGAGTTCATCTGCAGGGGACTGGCTGTAATTGGGAATTCTCTGAATTAACTTCCATGTAGAATACAATGTTTATTAAAGGAATAAGAATGTGTTCATTTGAAGCTTACACACATATCACTTAAACTCAACAGTAATCCCCAGGATTCTTTACAATGTAGACCAAAAAGCCTTTTTTTTTTTTTTTTTGGCTTGCTTTTTTTTTTGGAGAGAGGATGTATTTTATCACCGACATTACTTAGAACTGCCAGGACATGGCATAGTAAAGAGAATATCAACTTTTAGTTGGTTTTATTATAGCTTTTAAATTCTCTACAATGGACCCTTCCCACCACCTTGCTCTCAGTACCCCTCAGTATTTAATAACCAGTGACATAATTACTCTTTATAATTGTGATCCCTGTCATAACAGGTACCACAGAGTCCTCAGAAGTACTGGGTGTCTGATCCAGAAAGATTTCTCTGAAGAAGGGATCTTTAAAAAAACTATATCTATATTGAATATAATTCACATACCACAAAATTTGCCCTTTAAAGGGTACACTTCAGTGGTTTTAGTGTTTGTACAGAGTTTTAGAACCATCATCTCTAATTTCAGAACATTTTCATCAGCCCTAAAAGAAACCCCGTGGTCATGAGCAATCCCTCCGGGTTCCCCACTCTCCTAGCCCTTGGCAACTACTGATCGGCTTTGTGTGATCAGCTCTTAAGCTGAGACCCTTGACGGATGAGTAGAGGTCAGTTTGTCAAGCAGTGAGGAGCTGAGCATTTCCGGCAGACAATGGTCAGGGAGAGCACAGAGGGAAGGACCGGTGTGGCCACAACACAGAATATGAGGGTGGGTGAGCCAGATTGCCATGAAAGTCTCGTGCTGCTTAGCAGAGTGACTCAATTTCTTCTGCTGGTGGCAAGGGTCTGACACAGAAATTTCTGCCTAGTTCAAGCTCAGAAAACACTGAGTCAAGGAACGAGTAAATACATCTCCCCTACTTTTTTAAAGCGTCATAAAGGATTGCTTTATTTCAAATATTTGTAATATGAAGTCAGACATAGAAGAGACATATGTGTACTCTCAAAATCATGGTGCCATTTTACTGTTTGGGGTTGCCATCTTACATCCCCAAGAAATCTTTCATACTAAGCAAATAGCTGAACTTAAACGTGGAAATCAGCTGTAATTTATCTTCATAGGAAACACTAACCCCAAACTTGTGGAATTTCTTGTTGAGGTTTGACAGAGTGGAGGCTGGAAGTCAGACTAAGGATTTGGGGTTGGTAGAGATTCAGAACAAGCTCCTTGTCATTTGAATTTCTTCCTATTGACTAAAAAGAATTTTTAAAAAAGATTGAAGTGTAATACATCCACTTGGTTCTCCTGGGAAGAGTTGGATATCCCTCATTTAGGGGGTCAGACCCAGACCGAGCAGACGTCTCAGTGTTCATCCTGGTTCTGACTTTTCAAATCCGTGTCCTCCACGATCACTTTTATTAGTTTCCCCATGTCATCTACCGGTGTCATTTATGCAAATGCACACAATCTAATCTCTCCCCTTTCTTTCAGGAAAGGTAGCATACTGTTCTAAAATTTCCTTCCTTGCCTTACTATACCATGGGAAATGTCCCATATTAAAATATAAAAAAGCCCCTCGTTCTTTTTCTTCTTAAAGATTTTATTTTTAAACAATCTCTACACCCAATGTGAAATCTTGGATTTCCCAAGATCAAGAGACTCGAACGCAGCATGGACTGAGCCAGACAGGTGTCCCTGTTTTTTAAAATAGCTGCATGATAATCTAAGGTTCATTTCACCCCTTCCCTATTGATGGGCACCTGAGATGTTTATACTCTTTTCCTCTATATGAATGTTGTTACAATGATGACTCTTTTTGTAGCGTTCTTATATGATGTGTAGGATGTGTAAGTGTGGGTAAGTTCCCAGAGTAGGATTGCTGGGCAGCAGTAGTGCATTCGTCGTTTTGATAGACTTTTGAGTACCAGACACCCTCCCCTTAAGAGGCAAACCATTCTGCATTTTTACCACCTCGGTTTGCACAAAGCCTCACCAGTAGAGCATGTTCCCAAATGTTTGAGTTTTTCCAAACTGATGGGTAAAAAAGGCCACATCAGTATTATTTTAATTTGCATTTTTTTTGTTAAGCACCTTTCATAAATGTAAGAGCTGTGTGTGTGTGTGTGTGTGTGTGTGTGTGTGGTGGACTCTCTATTTAAATCGTTTTGCCTGCTTTGTATTAGGTCATTGGTTTTCCATATTCTCAATTACTATGAGCTCTCTTTATGAGAGGGAGGTATGAGTTGCAGATATATCCCATTTGTTATTTATCTCTTTGCTGTGCTATTTTTTCCTCTCTAGAAGCATTTTATATTTATATAATATTTTTTTGTAATGGTTTTGGTTCTTCAAATCACAGGCAGACCTTTTCTACACCAAGGTTTAAAAGAAATTTTTAAATGTTTTCTTCTTAGGCTTTTATGATTTCATTTTTCTTTTTTTTAAATTTTTAAAAATTTAATGTTTTATTTATTTCTGAGAGAGAGAGAGAGAGACAGCGTGAGCAGGGGAGGGTCAGAGAGAGAGGGAGACGCAGAATCTGAAGCAGGTTCCAGGCTCGGAGCTGTCAGCACAGAGCCCGACGCGGGGCTCAACCCCATGAACCATGAGATCACGGCCGAAGCCAAAGCCAGGTGCTTAGCTGACTGAGCCCCCCAGCTGCCCCTGGACCGAGCTATATCTTTTTTGGATGTTTATCCATTTGTCCTAATACCATTTATTAAAAATGCTAACGTTATCTCCACTGAAATGAGACCTCACTGTTACCAGAAATCAACTTCCTGTGTGTCTCTGAGTCTATTTCAGGAGTTTCTATGCTTCCCTGGGTAGGTCTGACTCTTTGGCTCTTCCCACACTATTTTCATTAGTCTCAGCAGCATGTTTGGTCTGAAGGGTTCCCTTCTCGTTGCGCTTCCTTTTTATAGTTTTCCTGCACAGTCTAGCTGATTTGTTTTACCCACATAAATGTTAGAATCAGCTTGTTTAGGGGCACCTGGGTGGCTTAGTCGGTTAAGTGTCCGACTTTCGCTTAGGTCATGATCTCGCGGTTCGTGGGTTCGAGCCCCGCGTCGGGCTCTGTGCTGACTGCCAGCTCAGAGCCTGGAGCCTGTTTCAGTCTGTGATTCCCTCTCTCTCTGACCCTCCCCTGCTCACTCTGTCTCTCTCTCTCTCTCCTAGAAATAAATAAAACATTAAAAAAAAAAAAAAGAATCAGCTTGTCTAATGGCGGGATAGTGGAGTAGGTATCTTTTTCTGGCTTATATTACATTTCTCCTGTTTCTTATTGATCCATTCATTCCTCGGCTGCAGCTGTCTACGCACTGGGGCTGTGTTTGCTCTGTTGATCCTGTTTTCCTGAGCAAATCCATTCCTTGAGCCCCTTCTCCATATTCTGTTCCAGGCAAAGCCTGTTGACATAGACGTTGTTCCTGCTGTGCTCCCAGCATCTCCTCCATCACTGGCCACTTTGGGCCTCTCCCCTGTTGGGGAGTCGGACCGAGGAGAGTAAAGGGGAAAGGGGAGCCTCCTAATTGGCTTCCTCTAGAAGTTTCCGCCTCACGTGTTTACTGCGCGCTATACCCACCCTCCGCGTGAATCAGGAGAACAGAATAAAGATGCTTCTGGGAAGCTAGGAAGGCAAAGGTCTCCTCCAAATCTCCAGGAAGACCAGGACAAAGCTGTTCGCCCCGTTTCCTTACCAGGGCGACGATGTTATACGATTAGAAGATGATGGGAAAAACTTACAAGGAGAAGATACAAAACCAGAATTGTTAGGAGGCCCCTGTGCCAACAGGAATCTCTGATAGCTGTGTTCTTTCACAGTTGCTCTCCTTTGTCTCTTGTTCGCTACCTGCTTCGATCTCTGGACAAGGTGACGCCGCGGTGACAGTGGCAGCTGGAATCCAGGTAAGGAGCCCCTGACTGCAGACTTTGTTTGGGTTTTTTTTTTTTTTTTTTTTTTTGGTTTATTGTGCACAGTCACTGCCCGGACAAGCATATTCTCATAAGCCCTTGCAGGCACGAGCTGATTACCCTTTCCTTCGCCATCCCACCCACCCCCCTCCCAGCACAGTGCTCAGGGCTAACCAGTCATGCTTTTGATTGATCTATAGACGTCACCTCATGGTAGGCAGGCATTTTCTTGAATTAGGAAGAATCCCATCAGTAATCCCATTTATGAGAGCCCATGTGGTCTATTCCTTGCTGACTTTGTTCAGAAACTTCTGCTCAAAACCTGTCCTGAGCCTGCAGCTATAAATTAGCTCATGCTCTGGCATAGTCTCAGAGACCTGTGACATCACCTCCACCTGACGGCAATGTCTTGTCTTTAGAGATATTGCCACATCCCTCCACCTCTCCCTTAATTCCTCTTTTCTGAAGTGTGTGGTGCTCCGGTCCTTCCTGGGCATGGTCGACTCAGAGAATTTGGGCCATCCACCAGAGCCCGCTCCGCCTGGCGGGGCAGGAATGCACAGGGCCCTCTCTCTCTCCGAGGGAAACCTGTTGGTCTGTGTCCGTGAAGACACCATCATTATCCCTTGTAATTTCAGTTTTCTGAAATGCGCGTGGCTTCAAAGTTCTAGCGGCTTGGGGCACACAGGGAGCTCTTTCCATCCAGGGCGTGGGGGATGCGAGGGGGTGAGCAGGGCCAGGTGAACAGGTAAAGAAGAACCTCATGGCTCTCTGTTGCCTTTTGCAGGCAAGAGTATGAAACAGCTGACATCTGTTTAGGGCGTGGGAATCCCACTATACTGGAAGCTTCTGATAAAGTAAACCAAAACATTTCATTAAAATTCATTTCCTTTTCTCACATCTTACTGAAAACAGAAAAATATTTCAACCTTGGCATAGCCACTGAATTATTCATCTGAAAATTAAAAACAAAAAAACCCCACAAAACAAAACTTTGATGCAATACAGATGGGATTACCCCCCCCACCCCCCGCCCTTTGCTCCTTGAATCCCCCTTCCTCTGAAATGAGGCTGGGGTCCTGGTTTCCTGCTGTGGCCGGCGCTGGGGGGGGGGGGGGGAGGGGACGATAAATTCTCTTTTGTCCCCTCATGGGAGGAATGACTGAATACCAGCTGTGGCTCCCAGACATGGGGGACTCCATGTTGCCCCGAACCCTGTCGGGGGACAGGGGGAGTCCACACGGGGGCACACCGGGGCTGTGTAGACACTAGTTCAGGGAGAATGCCTCTTCTCACTCCCTGAAGGAGACCAGGAGGAAAGCCTGGGCCATCCCTACATTTCCGGCACCGGCTCAGAGCTCCTGGACAGCTGTCTTGCACCACCTTTGACCCCCATTCTCCCTAAAGGCCAGTGTTGACAGCGATCACTCAGCACCTAGGATGCTCCCTCCTGCAGCATAGGACCCACGACTGTCCTCTGCATGCCTGCTCTTGCATTATCCATTTGGGACTTCTCTTCCATCTCAAGGTTGCCTTTGTGATTCATTTTAACCAGATGGCACTTAGCAACCAGTTTGGGGGAGGTGACCTTCGACTGCGTTTCCCCCAGGGGCATTACTGCCCCCTGCAGGCCTGGCTGTCCATCACACTGTGACCCTTCCTCAGGTCTCCATCAGCACCCCTTAATCCCCCACCTTCCACTGTGCCCTCCTGAAGTGGGGGGCTTCCTTCACGAGCTCTGGTCCCATTTTTGCTACCCATATTTGCTGAGACCTAAACCCAGACACACAGGTATGGGGGCTCCTGAGGTGTTCAGGGAAGTACATTTGAAACTGGGGCTGTCCTTGGAAGCTGGTGGCTGCCTCTCTGCTTGGGTGGCCTGGGAACTTTCCAGTAATGGATTTCCTTTTTGGATACGGTCACACTAGTTGCACATCTTTGCACGTCCCTTATTTCCCTAAGTCTCTGTCTCATGAGCTTCTCTAATTTCAGCTGCCGGGAAATATTTTGTAAATAAGGATTGAGGCTTCTTCCATCGATGGTCCAGATAACACCCAAGTTCTGAGTTAACCGGCCAGCACAGACGCGGAGAGCCGTGTCCACACATTCTAGAGAGGAGGGGTGGTCTGTTTCTGGCAAAAATGCCACCCCTCCCTGCCCAAAGAAAAACAGCCTAATTATTCAATGTGACTGTCAACGTTAATCAGATTATCCAGAAGGTACTCAACTCAATTTTGTTTTATGGTACAAATAAAGCCGAAGGGCAGGCGAGAGTTTCTGTCTTCCCCTAAAATGCTCCCTCACTGGCTGTAAACAGTTTAGTGGGTGGAGTATTCTCAAAGTGAACGTGAGATCCATGCCAGGGGTATCAGCAGCCATAACCAGGGTTTCAAGGGGGGAGGGAGCTAGGCAGCCGGGGAAGCAGATGGGCGGATGGGAGTGGGGGGAGGGGGGCAGGTGAGGTGGGTGGGGAATAGAGAAAACAGGTAGAGGTGGAGCCAAGGGCTGAGACCGCTGAGGAGGCCGGGTCTGGAAGCTTGGAGCAAAGCTGGACTTGAAACCTGACAGTGAGCAGGAGCCAGTATTTGTCTCCCTGGGCTGCCGTAACCAAGTCACACCCACTGCGGGGCTTAAACAACAGGCAGTTATTGTCTCCCAGTTCTGGAGGCTAGAAGTCCAAGATCAAGGCGTTGGCTGGTTTGGTTTCTTCGGAGGGCTGGGAAGGGACCCTGTCCCATGCCTCTGCCCCAGCGTCTGCTGGCTTACGGGCCATGTTTGGCATTCTGTGCTTTGTAGACGCGTCGCCCTGATCTCTGCCTTCCTGTCCGCGTGGCACTCTCCCGGTATCCCAATTTTATAAGGACACAAGTCATATGGAGGTAGGGTCCCACCTACTAGGGTCCAAGTGGGGACCCTATTTCAGCGTGACCTCCTCCTAACTAATTACATCTGCAAAGTTCCAGGACTACAGGAGTAAACTCCCGCATACGCCCGGACCAATGGTGCACATTTGGGTGTAGAAAGCTCCAGACGCAGAGGAGTAGGACCAGCACCAACCTTTCTCAGTGACAGGCACCCAACTGCCCGTCACTCCATAGTCATGTCTACAGACTTTGCCTCAGGTACCCATTCTGTCACTTAAACCAGGGGGTTCTGTTCACTCCTTGTGAAAATTGGCCCTTTGTCCAGGTTCTTAGTGAATGTGACAGAAGCTATTTTCCGCCAGTGTCCATTCTTCTTTTCTTCAATAGTAATAAAGTCCCAGCGTTTTAGCCAGGTGTGTAAGTGTCTGGAATGAAAACTACATTTTCCAGCCTCCCTTGTAGCTCTGTGCCCGTGTGACTAAGTTCTGACCAATGGGAAATAAGCAGAAACTCGTGGAAAAATTTATGCTTTGGGGACCCTTCTGCTTCAGGGAAGCTTCCTTTTTCCTCTTTTTCTTCTCCCTCCTCGCCCCTCTCCTCTTCCCATAGTTCTCTATTTTCGAACACTTACTATAAGCCTTTAAGCATTTTGTGTATATCGACTCCTTTATTTCTCACAATGCTATGAGGTAAGTATTCTTACCGTCTCTGTTTTACAGATGAGGAAACTAAGGCATACCTGATACACGCCCTCACTTCTGTTTTGCTTTGTTCCTTTCTTTCTCTGATAGACGAAAAAAAAAATCTAAACTGACCCAAGAGATTAATTACTTAGGGAGTGATGACTTATACTAAGGATTTAGCTCACTGGCTCTTCTAGCTAGGTGGCTAGCTAGAATACGTCATTGCTGGCTGCCACTTTTGATGAAGGGCCAGACCCTGAGGGTGAGGTACCACTGAGCTGAAAGAAGCCACCAGGATCCTGGGTCCCCATAGCAAAGACTGCTGTGACCAGAGTGATTTACTCTCCCTCTCGAACACCAGCTAGACCAGCTTCCTCAACCTCCCTTGCAGCTTAGAATAATTTCCAGCCAATGGAATCTGAATGGTATTCTAGATGTGGCCCATTAGAGTCCGTGTTCCCTCCTCTGTGCTCTTTCTCCATCATCTGACCACATGCGGAAGATTCATAGGCTCTAGGGGATGGCAGAACCACAGGATGAAAGGAATCCATACACAGTTCTCTGTGTATGTGTATGTCTCTGAATACATTTCCTAAGTGGGTTTATTTAACAAATGGTGACAAGAGCCAACACTAGGTTCAACCCACCCACGTGGAGGAAAAATGCCTGCTGGTCAGGAACACTCACGTTGAATTGTTAAATTATCATATTGTGTTAAGACATTCACATCTGGGGGCTTGCTTATCACTGCAGCCGGCACTGACCTGTGACAGTCCTTAAGATCATCGAGGAACAGATTGGCTGTACTAACCCAGAACAGCCCGCGTTGGAATGTGTATATGAGAAGAACACAAACCACATTTCGCGCACTTGCTGTAACTCTCCTGATTCCTGTGTGTGAGTTGGGAATGTTCTGCTAAACACAGGTGAATCTAATCTTACAAGAGAGTGTGACAATTACCTTGGTCCCTCTAGATGTCCCCTACCTTTGCTTTGTGTCCTTGCTTGGTTCCTGTGTGTATTCGACTGTGACCCTTGGGTTTCCAACAATTCTAGTTTTGCCAGCTTTGACCCTCAGAGCCTCCAAAGTGCCACTTACTTGAAGGATGCCCTTTGGTGCCTCCAGCCAAGGTTACTTCAGGTACCCTGCCCTCTGTCTAGAAGGGTTGGGCACCTGGGTGTGAAAAAATCCACGCTAACTTGACAGTGACTCAGTTAGCAAGTGGGTAATGACTTACATTCAGTATCTATGATAGCAGCCTTTCAGCTTATAATCTGCCCAAATCTTGCCTGGCCCATCTCTGCAATGTTTTAGAACTCACTTGGCACATATGGATTGAAAAGTAAACTAATCTCTTTCACCAAATCTTCAACATTCTTTTTTTTTTAATGTTTTTTATTTATTTCTAAGAGAGAGAGAGAGACAGTGTGAGCAGGGGAGGATTAGAGAGAGAGGGAGTCACAGAATGAAACAGGCTCCAGGCTCTGAGCTGGCAGTCAGCACAGAGCCCGACGCGGGGCTCGAACCCACGAACCGCGAGATCATGACCCAAGCGAAAGTCGGATGCTTAACTGACTAAGCCACCCAGGCGCCCCTAAATCTTCAACATTCTATGTAGTTCAAAGGTGGTCTTGCTAACGGTATTGTAACTAGGACACTTGGTATGAACCAGGGTATTGATTACATCCAAGTCTTAAAAATCTTAGGTTCTCAGAGTGTAAAAAGGACCTGGGTGCTAGCAGCTTGCACTGAGCATTCCAGTGGTGTTACAACCCCCCATTTAGCACCTAATACCCTGGAGAAACTGTTAATCATCTCCCATCTTAGACTGCCGCCATGTTTAGACCTCAACTCTTGAGAAATCTTGCCTGGCACATACGTGGAATAAATGCTCATAACTCTAGAAACCTCCCAGGAACCAGACATCATGGAGCCCGGGAAGGGTTTAGCGTGTCACTTTATTCTCCAAGTCAGCCAATAACGGGGTTGGCAGAGAGCTTTCAGACAGACCTGAGATCGAATCTCAGCTTCGCCAAGCTAGTAGATACGTGAGTTCTTCCAAGTTGTATCAGTCCCCTGACACTCGGCTTCCTCATTTGCAAAATGGGGCATATTCCTATCTTAGGAGAACTGGACATATCAAATGTAAACCCTCTGTAAATGTAGTTATTTATTTTCCTTAAGTAGTTTATTGTCAAGTTGGTTTACATATAACACGCAGTGCTCATCCCCACAAGTAAGTTATTTTTTTTAAATGATGGAAGTTCTCTTGCCGCAGAGATGCCAAGCTGGTTTGATGTTGGTCAGTCTTCATGCTCCTTCCCTCTTTCGAAATATGGGTCTCGGAGTCCCAGCCCTGCCACTTAACGAGTCATGCGACTTGTCCAATTAATTTAACTTCTTTAAACTGTTTCCTCATCTTTAACATAGGAACAATAACAGTACCAGCCCCCTCGCCCTGTTTTGAGACTTAAGTGAGTTAAAGTATGTGAAGCACATAGAGCAGAGTTCAGCACATGGAAATATCGGTTAAATTATTGTTATCGCGGGAAGGGATTACTTACTGGCCCATGTGGTCTTCCCTTTTGGACTCAAAGCTCTTTGGGGCTTGCAACCTTGTCTCTTTGCCAGCCACACACTCCCGTTTGCTGTCCAAGCTAGTCCTGGGGATGCCCAGTGCCTTCCCGTGGACTCACTGGCTGGCTGCTAGTGCTGGCAAAGGGCAGAGTGTGGCCAGTCTCCATGCTCGTGAACCATTGGCCACTGAGACTTACATCCCATCTCTGAAGCAGATGGAGCCCTGGAGCTGTGCCTGTAACACTAGTCCATTCTGTTATCAGAACGGAATCTTACTGCAAGTCTATAGGATGGTTCAGGGTCCGTCCTTAAATGTTTTTTATGGACTGTTCTCATCGCAGGCTCCAGGGCGAGTATGTAATACAAGTCGCTAGCTCTTCTATTTCAAACTAACCTCACAGGTAAAGGATGGGAGGAAACCATCCTGTTTGGAGTTCAGATACTACCACTGTCAGAGTCTCGTGTAATCTCAATGACACGTGACCAGATGGCGTATGGCACTCATCTCCGTGCCCCAAGCATGGCTGATGTTCTGTGGTGGTAAGTCTCCTTCTTGCCCCGGCCCCCTACCCCTCCCTGGAGTCAATTACTCCACTGACTCTGGGGAAAGACCACTCTGGTGTCTGGCTCTGAGCTGTCACAGACAGGTGTTCCTCTTGGGGCAGCAGAGTGGCGGGATGCTAATCACTGGCCAAGGAGCGTATGAGCAGGACCAGGCTTGGCTTTCCTGGTGGAAGGGCCCAGCCTTGAACCAGGAAGCTCTGGGGCAGGGAGATGGGGGACTCCTTTTGCCCTTGCAGTGGTTTCCTCTGCAGGGGCAAGGCCATCACAGCAATTCGTATTCACATTCGTATCCATCATCATGTATTTTCCGAGCACGTATAGCATCAGGAGCTGGGATTTCCTCCTGCTTTTGCTTGTGTGAAGGCTGACATCACCCAGTCCTGCATCAGGAGCCTGAACATTTAGATGGTGCTTCCCCATTACATGCACTCTTCTTTCAAAGAAAGAAACCCAGCCGGAGCCCCCATGTTGTTTTTGCAGGGCGACAATGAAACGCGTTCATTCCCACAATCTCCGATGAGCACCTGGAGCCACA